ATATAATTATTTTTTTAATAAAAAATATTATTATAAAGATAAAAAATTTGAATTCAAAAATTAAAAAAATAATCTTCTATAAATTATGAATATTAAAATGATATTTTTTATATATTTAGAATATGATAATTTAATGGTGTTAGAATAATGATTTTAAGAACCTATTGGAATATGAGATCCTAAGAATAGAATATTAGATGACTTAATTAAATATGAAAAATTATATTACTAAGTCAAAAATAAATTTAATTTAACTTAAAAAAATATTTAGATATAAATATATCACTTGAATTTCTTCTCTTATTATTAGTTTGAGCTCGTTGATCGACAAAATCAAGCATATTTGATTTATTCAATTCTGTTTAGAATGATTCCAGATCTGTTTTATAAGAATTCAAGGTTAGTTTCGTCAAATTCTAATTGAATTTAGTTTGATTCAAATCGATTGAGTTATTCCAATTAAGATTCTAGTTTATTAAGAATACTATGCTTGGTCCACAAGCTCATTGCAGTGTAAAACCACCACCAATGAACATAGTAATCGTACATCAAATATAAATATATAAATATAAATGAATGATCATAATTAATTATATATCTCTATCGAGAGCAACATTATTCTACCTCCCCCCACCCCCTCCCAAAAGCAGCATTATTCAACCTCCCAAAATTAGCTAAATTATGAGCAAAAATATTGGAGTTTCTATTGATGTGCAACCATGGGATGACATGCATGTTAGAAGCAATATGGAATATGTGGAGATGCCATGGTGTGCTTGAGGGGCTAGAGATGGTGCGTTTGGAGTCGGAGCAGACTTTAAGCTCCCTCTTTTTCCATTAGTGTAAGGGTGACGGTACAGTGAACAGGAGAACCCACCACCGATTGACAGCTCTGCCACCCGACAGATAGAGAGTATGAAAAACAAAGGAATTAGTATAACTGGCAAAACCAAGCCATGGGCTGCTGCGGTTTGCGTTGTACAGCAAAACCGACCCTCCAACTTTGATTGCTCATTACTGCGCCGAAAGAGAATAATAATAATGATAATAATTTATTATTATTATTATTATTTTATGATTAATAGGAGTACTTGGGATTTTGTAGATTTCCTTTGTTCATTCACAGTTGTGATCCATTACATTACAATAATAGAACATTCATCCCCTCCAAACCCTACAGTGACTTGTATGAACAGATCTTTACTTATATTAATAGCATTCAAATATCATTTTGTTTTACTCTTTACCTTTCGTTGTATCATGAATCAAAATCATCATCGTATGCTTTTAACACCATTAATAAATATTAGTTCCTAAGCTCCAACTAAAAGGGCGTAGTAGGACTATATTGAACCACTCGCTAGACTTTATGAAAATTAGCTGATCTGACTAAACCGTAATCGATCAAATGACTGATTGGGTCGTCGAACTGCCAATCTCGATCAAAACTTGACATATTACCACGATCTTGATCAAAACTCGACATATTACCTACCAGTGCAAGTCACACTCAAAAACAAAACGATTGGATTGGCTCCATACGGATATGTGAATCCGACCCAACGAAGATCATGAGCTTGGATTCATCAGAGAATTGGGGATCTGGAGATACCAGCCAAAGCTCTTGTTCTACCCCCCCCCCCCATTAAATCTTCTGCATTGCAATCAGGTCCGACCCAGAATTATGATGCACTGGGCCTCTTTTAATGCTCAGACCCTAACTACTAGGGTTGTTTGATTGATTTAAATCAGAACCGACTTTCAATGAATCCAGACCAAAAGGACTATTAGTTAGGTATGAATCCAACGTAAGATCGACAAAAGGTACAAAATTAGGCTTGTGCAAGGAACCTAATTTCATTATTTGTACTAATCTTTCTTTTCCACCGAATCCTAATCACTTAAATCATAACAAAAAGAGAAAAAACGTGGCATCATCATGTCAAAGCTATCTAAATCAACAACAAATCTCAAACAATTTTTTTTTTTTAAAAAATGTCCTAAAAGCATATTCTAAATCAACATTCATTAAATTTTTCGGATTTTATTCATACCCCCACAATAAACTAATAGTTTATTTTGTCCAATCCATTTTGTTCTCATCTTTGAGATTCTATTTCATGTAAAAATCTTGTGCTGTTAGAGCCATAATTTCTAAAGACTCGTTTTCAAAAGCTGTCCCACATATGTGGTGTGAGGGAATACACACTATTTGGTGGTATGACTTTGTCCCCAATTCCCCTCTCTGTTTCACCATACTTCAACGACGTCTATTTCCCTCCCAAAGGAATAGAAGAAAACAAGTCCACGAGGCTTCTTAAAGATATTGGTAGCCTCCATAAACATGCATTGTACAATTAGTCCATGACACGGCATGTGATTTGAGTCCCACATTCTGCCGAGTTTGCCCCTCCCCCCTCCCCCCTCCCCCCTCCTGGAATCCGAATCCCCATTTAAAGCTGTGCACTCTTTTTGTCACCCTCTCATTCCCACCAAGGGCACATCTCTGTGGCAACAATATAGTGAAAAAAGCAGCCAACCTTTGCGTGCATTGCAGTGCTACAACCACCACCCAATTGGATTCTCTCTCTCTCTCTCTCTCTCTCTCTCTCTCTCTCTCTCTCTCTCTCTCTCTCTCTCTCTCTCCACACATGGAAAACAGCTGTGGATTAGTACATAGAAAATGACCACCTTTCCCAAGAACTTTTTGCAACCCCCACAGCTCTTTTAATTAATCCCCGGGTCACAGGTTAGGCTGGCCATGGAGCACAGGGTCAAAAGCGAAGGTGGGTAGCTGGTCCCTAGGTGTGGTGGAGGGTTGTGCTTCGGACCATTGTGGTAGAATAAGAGTAGGGTTGGCATCTGGCCAAGAAACAGTACCAGTGTGAGCTTGTAAGCATGGGTCGAGATCATAGAGCAGAGCAGTAGATATGTCACGGGGGGTGAATCCAACCGGAGCACTGCGATTGGCTCTGACAAGCTGTCCTCCTGTGAGGGTGGACCCTCCGTCACACGGACGGCTACATGAGTTCTCTAAATCCCAGCAGTTACCATCTCATTTGATCATAAAGAAATATAACTATGATTCGAGCAAAGTAATTACCAAACCTTCATTACTTCTCTTGGGAAAAGAAGTCGAGCCGAACCGAACAATGTTGCCTGCAGCTGCAACAGAAATCAGGAAGGAGAAAGGTTGATGAAAGCTTTCAAGAGTATTGATCAAAATAAATGCTTATCTTGCCTTTCTCCTTGGACTGCAGCAGCCATCCTCCCTGCTTCTCAATGCCCCAAATCCGAAGGAAGTGCAGCATTTCAGCAGCCTACTTCACAATCCAAGACAATTTTTAGCGAACAAGGGGGGTTAAAGTTAAACTACTTATGTCCGTTGTAGAGAGAGAGAGAGAGAGAGGTCACAGACGACTGATCGAGATCAGACGGCAAGAAGTGGGGCCGCCCTCCGCTGTCATGTAGCAACGGCTAGTGTCTATCGACGTGGAGAAGCCACGTCACCGAAATGGAGGCCACGGCCGCGGCATGATAGCAAATGAGCCACTCGCCCCAGGTTGCAGCTGTTGTGCCGAGTGGTTTCCTTCTGCGGAGCATTCAATAGCCACTAAGCATACAATGCATTAGATGTTCGAGCTGGCGAACACTTGAGGTGAGAGAGAACCAAGTCCAGAGCCAATAGAGGCTCGTATTGCACAAAGACATGAGTTGTATTCATCCCTGGCATTCATTACTTGCTTTTCTTCTTCCTTGTGACATCACTTCCCAGTTGCTTTTTCAAGGCCAGATGGTTCCTTGTTCTTGGAGGCTACTGGTGTGTGGGGCGGGCATCAGCTGCCACTATATGCATGTGATCAGATGAGGATGAGGCCCTGCATCAGCAACAGGCACAACAAGAACAAGAAGTCAGATAATGTGGTGTCAGATATGTGACCCAGCTAAAGGGTTGGCTGAGACCACAGTTTGCAGAATTCCAACTCAAATAATAATTTGTATCTTTCATTTTTAAGGTGCAAATGTGCTTCTTTTATAAAAAGATAGAGAGAGAGAGAGAGAGAGAGAGAGAGAGATGTCCTCAATAAAAAATTTGCATGATAGGAGCCAAACAAATGAACTAGGGTCTGTGCCAGAGAGGTTCAAATAAAGCAGCTATTATGACAGTATTTGGCATCAAAGTTGAGACCACAGGAAATGTGTGCTGATGACAAAAAGTACGTTTGTGCACAACAACTAGGGTTTTACTTCAGACAGCAAAAGTGGTGGTTGGCTTGTTATTAAAATCATATTTCTGTATTCCGTTTTGAAATGTCACAGAGTTGCTCAGTAGTAGGCCATGGATGATCCACTCCACCTTGAAAATTAGTAGGTAGGTCACACATGTCATATTGTATATAAAATTGCATTCTGCATGTTACCACTATTATAGTAACCATTACGACTTCCAATTCATGCAGCACATATTTGGTAGAAAACTTAAGTTGATCAATTTAACTAACATATCCAAGAAAGCCATGAGCACACCCATAAAAACCAATTAGTTAAGCTGATTATATAACACAAGTTAACTCACTGGAGAGTAAAATTATCACTCGGTCCCAATTTTGGAAGAAAGCCGACTTTGATGTCGATTGCAGTGTACATTTTGAAGTTTCCAAAATATATATAGCCATGCACTCAACCAAAGGAATCAAGAAGAAATAACTGGCAAGCGACTGACCAACGACATGCATAGGAGGTGGGATGAAACTATTTAATGCCCAACCCCTTGTCTAGTTTTTTACTCCAATTCTTCACCACATGTACTACTATTTTCTACAACACTACTTGAGGTAACAAAGATTCCATTGCATGCTTCAACTGGTAATATTATTATTAAATACCACTCCATGTGCATAGTAATAACAAAAATAATGTCACTTGTAAAAATAATTAGGGGGTCTCTTCTCCGATGAAACAACTCTCTCCCTCTGCTCCCAATAAAACGCCAGCCTCGTCCTCACCTTTCCACTACCACACCTTTCTTTTCTCCTCCCCCAAGAAACATAAGACGACGAGAGAGCTCTCGCCTCAACAAAATAAAGATAAATCAGTGAGACAGAGAGAAGGAGAGACAAGGTAGCTCAAGGCAGAGAAGAAAAGAGAAGCAAAGTTGAAGAGGAGAAGTAGAAATGGTTTCTTCTTCTTCTTTCTTCTTCCTCTTCTTGTTGTGTTCAGTTCTGTTCCTCTCCGATGAGGCTACATCTCTTCCGGAGCTACCCAACCTCACCACCCTCTCTTTTGAGGAAGGCTACACGCAGCTCTTTGGAGACTCTAATCTATTGCTACACCGAGATGGTAGAGCTGTCCATCTTGCTCTCGACCAGCGAACTGGTACTTCTCTTATCTTCATCTCTTGCTCAGCCTCTCCCTTTTATCTCCTCTACAAGAAGATAAATGGATGCCTGTCTAACCGTATACAGCTCTTTTAGGTGCTGGATTTGCGTCACAAGATCTTTATCTGCATGGATTCTTCAGTGCCTCCATCAAACTACCTTCAGATTATGCCGCTGGAGTCGTTGTCGCCTTCTATGTATGCTCCTTTTCTCCGCACTAAGTTTAACATTCTTCTACTACTCACTGCTATTATTTTCTTAGGAACACTTCCAGTTAAGCAAGAACATTTCAAGTTTGCATTGACTAAAATAGACTCCTATTCTTTTTCCTAATGTTTGTTGTGTTCATTGATAAAAGAGTCATCAAGTCTCGAGGAAAAATTTTTGCTTCCCAGTCTCTTTGCCACCTTGACTTGGACTTTGGCTGTGCAAACCAGTTGGATTTCTTCTGTCATTCTGGTTTCCATTCCTGGAATACTAATCCTAATAGTTAGCACAAGTTTTCTTTACTTACTTTTTGTCTTGTTTTAGTCAGCTTAGAACAGTTTATGAAGGATCTTGCTCTAACTTCCTTGGAAGTTTTCTTTTGTAATTGTCTCATATACTCCAGAGAGTTGCAATTTGCAGTATATGAAAATGCTACTTTTGATGACAATGTAGATGTCGAATGGAGATGTATTCGAGAAGTCACATGATGAACTGGACTTTGAATTCTTGGGGAACATAAGGGGGAGGGAATGGAGGGTTCAGACAAATGTTTATGGGAACGGGAGCACAGCAGTTGGAAGGGAAGAGAGATACCAACTTTGGTTCGATCCCACAGAGGACTACCACCAGTACTCCATCCTGTGGAGCCATGAGAGAATCATGTAAGGCTTACATACCAAATTATTTGCCTCTTCTCAGGATCTTGCTCATTAAATTGAGTGTTTGATAATGAAAGTCTATAATTTTTACAGAGAGAGTGTATCTATGATATTTTGTGCTCATCTTTAAATTATTTCTAAAATTTTCTACTTAGGGTCTTTGGTTTGTTTTCTTTAACCATCTTCACCAGGTCTATATTCTTTTAGGTAGCTTAATAAGTTACAACCAAGAGTTATGTTATGCTTACTTCCTGAAAATTTCTCTGCCTTTGCTTTCTAATGCAGAATAGATGAAGTACTAGGGAACAAAAGGACAACTATACTCTTACGACTTTTGGAATGAAAGTCACATGCATCCTACTTGTTATACGACAGTGGATGTATAGCCCCATTGTTAACTACAAAGACTTCCAGATCATAACCTGTCCTTATCAACCCCCCTCTTCCTTTGACCAATTTATTTTAATATTGATAACACGCTCATAGTATTAGATAACACATCATATTCCAAAAATCTCAACTCTCTCTCTCTCTCTCCATACATGTTAGTAGTTTTATGGAGAAAAGCTTTAGGTCCATCTATATATAAGTTAATGATATATTATGTCAGATGTCTTTAGATATTGTGATTGTTTCTGATTTAGGATCTTCTAGTTATTTCTCTACACGCTTTTAAATATTCCATACTTAATTGGTCACAAGAAGCATGGATGGTTGCTTCCTAAATGTACTACATCTTTGCTTTCCTTCGCAGACAAGAGAAATTAGAGAACAAAAAGGCAGCCTCACTCATTCTTATTAACGAAAGTCTACATACAACCTATTTTCTATAGATTAGCAGCTGCACAGTTTTATAGTCACAACAATCTTAACATTACAAACAATCTGATATTTCATGTTCTCTTCTATGTGCAGATTTTACATTGACAACATTCCCATCAGGGAGGTGGTGAGGACACAAGCCATGGGTGGGGATTTCCCCTCAAAGCCCATGTCCCTGTATGCCACCATATGGGATGGTTCTACCTGGGCCACCTCTGGCGGTCGCTACAAGGTCAACTACAAACTTGCCCCTTACGTCGCAGATTTTGCTGACCTCATCCTCCATGGCTGTGCTGTTGATCCTAGTGATCACAAAACAGCCTGCCAGAGATCCGATGCTGTATTGTATGATGCCATCACTATGTCAGCTGATCAACGAACGGCAATGGCCAAGTTCCGAAAGAAGCACATGACCTACTCTTACTGTCATGATCGCATTCGTTACCCAACACCCCCACCAGAGTGTATGTTTGTTGGTCCTGAATCCCAGAACTTTCTCGCATCAGGCGACGCAAAGTTCAACTATCGCCACCGCCGTGGTAGGCGTTATGGCCGAAGCTCAGTAGATGCAGTTCTTTGAATCTAAGTGATTGAACATTGAATAGGTTCATGTACTCTCAGGGTTTTTTTCTTTTTTTCCTGTGTACCACGCATTTTGGTGTTGTATAGCAAATTTATTTGGTGTGGAGTTTGGGGAGCTTTGAGTAGAGCTATGTTGGGTCGATTCACATGGGTTCAATGACATACACATGTACTGAGGTTTACCACATAGCCCGAGTCGATACAGTATGAGCGGTACATATCGATCTGACGAGCAACTGAGATGTGGATTGCTCGAGTCCTCGTCGACACACCCTAGCATATCGTGTGTCAGTACACCAGTATGAAGCAGTACATACCATATTGCCAACAACCTTGAAATGTACAACTAAGTCTTTCAAAGCTTGTTTCAGGGTCTATTTTGTTCATCATATTGTTCTTCCAATCTTTCTAGTTTCCTTCACTTGGTCCAGCACAGTTTCAATCTTCATGCTCAGCATTCAAGTGAATGCTTTTCTTTATGGTGGTAGCTCAATAGGGCCATGGCTTTGTAAAGGAGTTACGATTGTGCTTGAAGAATTGAATGTGTTGATCACTTAGGAAGGTCACTATTAGCAGTCTTTAGTCGACATGGAGGTTGGCCTCCATGTCCCTTTGCCCTCTACAAACTCTCAAGGCTTTAATGTCTAGAGTGTAGGCATATGGGCCCTCAGATTGGATGGAATCTGGACTAAAATAAGGTGACAAAGATGATCAAGGTGGATTGGATTTATTGCCAAACCCAATCAATGAGAAGACACCTACTGTAGGCTGTAATATCAGTTGTTTTCAGATCCTGAAATTGACAGTGAGATCAAATAAAAATCAAGTCTCTTTCATGATGCAATCATGAATCCAGTTCAGAGCTGTAATATCTGTCTATAAAGTAAGCCAACAATGTCTGTTGTCTAGGCTGGGAGAAGTCAAAACTAGGTCAGCGATTCTAGTTAGCAGCAGTCAACCCCAAAGACGACGTACCTGGATAAAATCGAACGCAAAACCTTCACGGCAAGCCACAAGATCGACCGGCTTCTCTTCGCGCCATCAGAAACCCTAGCGGCCTAAACCGAATTCCCAGCTTCACTAAAGTAACCAGCTCCCGACCCCGATCTCCCACATCTCATTTCCATCGCCTGAGAAGAAGGAAAGAAAAAAGGTCATTCGGAGGTAAAACGCCTCGGCGACGAGTTCAGACCAATGCAAGGAGAAGGATAAGCGATCGTACTCCGCCCGCACGCCGCCGACGGTAGCGACGGCGGATAAGGGCTCCGTCGAGGGGGCCGATCGATCAGGGTTTGGTTTGGGGGAGGGGAGAGAGAGACGGCGGGGGAACGGACGAGGGCGCGCAAATCTTGATCTTTTAAGGAATCATTGACACGTGAAAGACACGTGAATATTTCTTTTCATTAAATTCCCACATCTTCTCAGTCAAAATGCCATCTTATTATTATATATATCTAAGAAATTAATTTAGTATTATATGATTAAAAAACCTCATATACAATCATTTGAGATATAAATTTTGAGCTCAATATGTGAATTTATCAAAAAAAATATTTTTACTTAGAATCAATTAATTGTAGCTAAGATAAATCTATTTTAGATGATATAAATATACTATGCTAAGAAGACCCATAGATAATATAGCTAGAAGATGTAAAAATTTTAATACTAATGGTATGATAAATGAGAGATTAAGATAATGATAATAATAATAATAAAATTACAAGTCTCAATAATGTGAGGGCCAACTACATGGATCTTTCGTTATCATTGAAATCTATAAAGAGACATATATTTAATTAAGTCTAGAGTACTTAAATTTTTATTTATAATTTCTATTAAAATCTTTTTATATTTTTTTATATATTTTCTTGTATTACTAATATTAATTACTATATAGTAAAGCATATATTTATACTATCTTAAATAACCTTCCATCGAAATCATACTTAGTTATTCACGAATAAAAATATTTTTTCTATCCTTTCTAGTAATTACGTTATTTCTTGATTCTTTAACATTCATATCCATCAATCATTATTAATCTCATGATTCTCTTAATAAATAAATAATAAAAAGAGACATATTATAAATAAAAAAAGATTTAAATTAACTAAGAATATGACTTTTAATCAGTAAAATAATTATAATTTTATGATTTTATCTTATTTATATATAAATAACATAAATCTTAAGAAAAGAAAGGTGGAGGATTGGGTAGACAGTGTATCCGAAACTGATGGCAAGTCACGTCCTCTTTCTCCTCATCTTCTTGCCACTGCAATCTCGACTTCTAAGCCAAGTGTAGACAGTCCCCACCTTGTTCTTGCTCCTCTCCATCTCCCACTTGACTTTGCTTGTGCAGGATATGGTTTGCTGGAGAAGGAGAAACCTTCATTTGTGCATGCTAAGAAGCTTAAAAGAGGTGCCGGTGCAGGGATATGGGTTTGCTGGAATAGGAGAAACCTTCATTTACGCATGCTAAGAAGCTTAATAGAGGTTGCACCCGAAGAGAAAACATGCATTCAATGGAAGCCAAATCAATTCCTTGGCAGATAGGGAAGAGGACGACTTCAATGATGGTGACTTCCTAACTCAAACGAACAACCACATCATTTGGAGGTTTGATACGGCTCACCAAATTGGCATCACAATCGATTTCTTTTCTTTCTTTCTATCTTTCTTTTTTCTTTGTCTCTTTTTTTCTAAGGTTGACATCAAGATCACGGCATGCCAACCTACAAACAAAGTCCACTAAAATATGAGAGGTATGGGTTTCCTTTGGCCGGGCAACGAGATATTCTCTAATAAATTTTTATTTATCATTTAATATGATATGATCAACATTTTAGGTTAATCTAAAATTTATTCAATTAAACATATCACATGAATATGAGTCAGAGGAAACGAATATTTTGGAGTACTATTCTCACCACTTCATAATTAGATTCAAGAATTAAAATTTTTTTTATGATATTCCTATAAAATCTCAAACCGAGTGGAAGTGATTTTTTTTTACGAATAATACTCTAGAGAGTCAAATTGATAGATTATCTATATCATTGAAGATCTAATTTTATAATTATGATTATGTTCAAGAAATAACTATATCGACTTGACTCCATCGTATAAATGTAGGATCAATTTTAATCCTAACATAATATAATAGATATTTTTTAAATAATTGACAACTAGACGAAGGAGACGATGAGATTATAAAAAAATCTCTATACTATTGTACCAAATTATATATCTACATTTCAAATTTGAAGTTATTGTGGTACCATTTCTACCTTAAAAATTACACATGTCTATGTCCTTGTTGTTAATGTTAAAGACAGAGAGACATTAATGAACCTTCAAAATCCATATGTAGTTTTCATTGACAAACTACCAAAGTCTTTTTTTTTTAGTATTTTATGGTCTAAAACTTTTAATCAGTAACCATAGTGGATAGTGGTTAACATAAAATTTATACTCATATGTTATTAAAAAGAGATATATTTGGAGGATCTCATACATATGCTGTGTACTTCAATTTGGAAGGGTACACCACACTCTGTTCCCCTTAGAACATCACCATAATAGAATGCAATAACCTCTGATTACCATTTTCCCCACCAAGCATTCCTCTACATGTCTTTTCCCTGTTGTTGTTGGTAGAGCCTGGCCATGGCCTTTGCTTTTCCAAGATTATTCTTCATGTTTATTTAAATGTTGTTCCTTGCTTGCTTGCTTTCCTAATGGCAGTGGGGTGCCTTTGTACAAGTAGCTCCCATTGCCTCTGTTTTCTTCCCCATCCCTTGAGGAGTTTTTGCTGCCTTTCCTCTCCAAAAATCTCTTCTTTCCTATCCAAATCAACCGCTCCCTTTCTCTTCTTCCATTTGTGATGATCTTCTGGAGCAGCCAAAGGAAGGAGAGAGGAAAATCCAACTCGTAGCCATAGGAAAGTTGAGCGTGGTGTTCTTCTCTATGGAAGAGGCAACTGTACACGCTTCTCTTCTTGGGAGGTAAGGAAGGGAGGAGAAAAGAGGAGGAAAGTTGGGATCTTTGCCCCTCCCTCCTCCTCCTTCTCAGAGGACAAAGGGAGAGATGGCGGTGGAAACGGGAATTCGGACCGGTGTCTGTATGGGCTCCAAATGCGGTGCTTTGCTTCGAGAGCTGGAGGTTCAAATCATGCTCTCTCTTTCGTGTTTTTTCTCTTTTTCGCCTTCTATTCGATGGTCTTTGTTTCCTCGGTTTAATTCATTGTAAAAAGATCTCTGTTTGCCGAGGTGATACTCGGATCTCTTCGTTTCTTGGTATCCTTTCCTTCGTGGATTTGCATTTCTTTGATGCGGCGCATCATTTGTTGAATTTTAAGTCTTCTTCTTGGCATGAACGACTACGAAGTTAGAATGGTTATATCTGGTGGATAAATTTGCAATCTTGGAGTTTCTAAATTTGGTTTTGTTAGACTATGTTAAGGTTGAACTGTCCTAAAAGATCTCTTCTTTCCTCTGCTTCCATTTCGGAAAAATCTTTTCCTTTTGATTGTTCTTGGTTCATTTGCTTGGTTATATTTCCTTCTGGGTTTGATTCAATTCTCAGGTGGATTTGAAATTGTGTTGTGTGTTTGTGGGAGCAGAAAATATGGACAGAGGTTGGGGAGAGCAAAGAGGACAAGGATCTCATGTTGGTGGAATTAGAGAGAGAGTGCATTCGAGTGTACCGAAGGAAGGTCGAAGAAGCCGGCAGCAACAGGGCTCATCTCCACCGATCGCTAGCAGAAAAAGAAGCAGAGGTTACTGCTCTTATGTCTGCCCTCGGTGAGCAGAGTCTCCAGCTAAAGGTGACCTCCCCCACTCTCTGTGCCCTTTCTTCTCCATGACTTGTGATATCCCTATGCCTTCACAACACATTCTGGATACAGTATTGTTCTTGATCCATGTGGCTGCAAAGCCGGCATATCCATCAATAGTGCTGATATATTCACTTGTTGTACATTTGTTATGAAGGAGTTAAATTATTCTTTGACTTTCTTTAAATGACTTTAATTATTCTGATATTTGTAATCGTATATTCATATTGGATATAAATCGCCCGGAGTCTTCTTCATCCACAAGTTTGACTCTTTGTAGCTAAGGTCTACAAGTGTTGCTTTTGTTTCAGCTAGTCCTGGAGTTTTGCTTCGTAAGTTTCAGATCAGTTTTAGAATTTCAGAAAATAAAGTTTTAGTTCTCAATAAGGCAAGGCATTACAAAAGTCTAGCTTCCCGTGTTCCGGACGACAAGTATATATTCTGTAGGATATTTGTTATGGTTTCACTGGCTTTGGCTGAAACCTAATATATAAAAGGCTATGTGAATAGCTTAAATAGTTTGAATTCATCGATTGATCATTACGGAAGATGTTTTTAATGAATACCATGTTGAACTTTCATAGATATTACTGGTATTCAAGATTTACTCTTTTTTGCTTCTTTGATCGATCGATAATTTTGCTAACATTATATCACATGCATTATGATTTCTTGAATATGTTTTTGAATTTGTCAAAAAACTGCTAAACCATATCCAAGTTCAGTTATACTCGTTTTTTCATGTAATGTTGTAGCTGTGACTCGAAATCTAGTATATCTGATAGGGTTTGGACATATCAAATCTTAAATCTTCTTTAATTTGCACAGAATCAACCAGCCGGTTGACGTCTCAGTTTTGGCAGAATCGCATGGACTGCTCAAACTTGGAAGAAATTACTGGTTTCAGAAAAACCTAAATTGAAAATTTGAAATGACAAATACTAAAGCAGTACTGGTTTTGTTTCTAGTAAAGCCAATTTGTTGGATAGCATTTAAAATTTTTGTTTTAGCTATCAATTAAAATATCTTAAGTTACTAATGCTGCTTTGCAGAATGCTCCTATTCTCAGAATTGTAGTCCTCGTAGCTTTCCAACTTCCAAGTACCATTTACTGTTTGGTTTTTCAGCTAAGTGTGTTCTTTTTTATACTTTATAGATCTGACTGTAATGAGCAATTCTCGAGTCAATGTAATAAGACTTGGATTCTTATTTTGCTTCACAAACACAAGTTGGTGGCATGCACTTCCAAACCAAAATGTTAGTGGATAAAAAAATGTAATGAATATAGAATCAACAAGGTATTCTTGGGTCTATAGAACCTATGGTCGATCTGCTTTACAAATTTTAATTGAAAACCTTACCACCAGGCTATTGATAGGTTGTCAAAGTTAATTATACTTTTATCTATTTTCTACCTAAACGTCAGCAGTTAGTTCCAGGCAAGTCTATATGGATTTATTTGTTCCTTGCACCAAAAAATGCTTTTTCCTGCCATTATGTTGAAACTTGCATTATTTCTGCCAATTCCTTCTGTGTTTGGTGATTATTTCTGCCATCATTATGTAGATGGAGAAGAGGTTACCATTGAAGGAGCAACTTGCATCAGTTAACCCTCTTTTGGAAGATTTACGAAAAAAGAAAGAGGAACGGCTGAAACAGTTTGCTGATATAAAGTCACAGATTGAGAAGATCAATGTAGAGATTTTGGGATCCAGTCACCATGATCATTCTCCAGCTAATCCTGTTAAGATTGAAGAAGATGATTTGTCAATAAGAAAACTCACTGAGTATCAATCACAGCTATGCATTCTCCAGAAGGAAAAGGTTTGTTTGGTTATGCAACAAGTTCCTTTATGTTACTATTTGAGCTTCTAACTTGTGTCCTGGACTAGATGGCTAGTCTACCATGCGTCCCCCTGCATTTCTGACATCTTCAAATTTCCCTTCACTTTCATCCACTTGGTGAAACATGATGATCTCTGGTACTTCATTTGAACATAGAAGATTGAAACTGTGATAGTCGATACCCTGGTAGATATTCTGCATACAAATTACTTACAAGCCTGTATATATGAATAAAGAAAGTAGATCACTGAACTAAATGACAGAGAATAGAAACACCAAAAACAGTTTCAAAAGAACCAAATGAAGCACAGCTAAAAATTTTATTTTGTGAATCGTTAGAATAACGAGACGTGGCATTTTAGAACCTATCTAATTCTTCCCAGCCCTGCTTGTAAGTTCAACATATTGGCCTACAAGATATATCTGTTCAATTTACAGAGAGATGATGAGTTTGAGATACAATGTACATATTAATGGTGATATATTTATTTCTTTTCCTCCTTACAAATGAGGTAATTGTCATGTGATTGCATGTGTCTCTAAGCGTAGAGAACATAGGAGGCAAATGCTTGATGGTCCAAAATAAGCCACAATCTCCTGAAAAAGAAACCTACGAAGGTTATATTTTCATCTGTCTATCATGTGCAAACTGATACTCGTCAAGAAGTATCTAAATGCTGTTACCTCTGGTTGTATCGGAACTGATGTTACAAGAAATGTTCAAGTCCATCAACCAACAAGGTAACTTGGGCACGACCGCTGAACTTATTTCTTTAAGCTGCTCCGAAGATTGTTTCTTTAAAAGTCTGTTATTGTGCCTCAATTTTGTTCGAAGTCTGATATGTTATTGTGGCATAATTTTCATTTGTTTGCTGTACACTTTATAATTCATGTTCTTTAGAATTATGAGTTGTATTGGTATTCGGTATATAACTTTTTGAAGTTAAACTTGCATGAGATAGCCACCCGCATCGTGAGAGCATGTGAAACTAATGGAATCATGGATAATCTGTAAGTGGACCTTGTTCATGTATTCACTGGTAGTTTTAGAAATTCCCTACTAGATATTTTGAGCAAAGGATGTTCGCAGATGCATTATTGCATACATGTTTGTTACATACATTATTACATAATGCATATTACATACATGATCTGACTATAAATTCTGCTGCTTCCAGTCTGATCGCCTTCAGAAAGTACTGGAGTCTGTAAATGAGATGCATTCTTTATGTGAACATCTTGAAGTGGACTTTAGGAAGACCGTGGAAACTGTGCACCCCAGTCTGCATGACACTGGTGGAGGACATTCTCCAAACATAAGTGAGACAGCACTTGTGGGCCTATCTCAAGCAATCCTAAAGCTAAAAACTGAAAAGAAGATACGAACTCAAAAGGTTAATATTCTCCTGCAAGCACACTTTTGAATAATCCTTGTCAAATGCCTACAAATCCATTTTCACTTTGTAGTTGCTAGAAGCAGTGGAGTCACTTTTGGAACTGTGGAATCTAATGGATACACCTGTTGAGGAAAGGAAATACTTTGGAAGAGTAACGTGCATTCTTGGATTACCTGAACATGATATTGGATGCTTTGGTCTACTCTCACTTGATACGATTAAACAGGTTGGATTGCCAGAGCTTCATTATCAGTTTAATACCAACTTAAAAGCAGTTAATTGGATTAATGTTTTTTTATCAGATGGAAGCTGAGGTTGAGAGACTCACAAACCTTAAAGCTAGGAGAATGAAAGAACTTGTTTTAAGAAAAAGGATGGAACTAGAAGAGATATGCAGAACTGCACACATTGAACCCGATATGAGCACAGCATCGGAGAAAATTGGCGCACTTATAGACTCCGGTAAGTCTACATAATTCAAGGCAAATGGAGAGTACCGGAGAACATTTGGGATTTTGTCACCTGTCCTTTGGATCCTTTTCTATGTCCAGGTATCGTAGATCCTTCTGAGCTTCTGACTAAAATTGAGATGCAAATTGTGAAAGCCAGAGAAGAATCCATGATCAGGAAAGAAATCATGGAGAGAGTAGACAAATGGCTCGCAGCATGTGAAGAAGAGAATTGGCTTGAAGATTATGACCAGGTAGACTGTTTTTGTCATTGATATCTGCTATCATGAGATGACACAGGAAATGTGATGTCAGCTTTTACCTAAAACTGGAAGATGGCTTTTGCCCGGTGCAGGATGAGAACAAGTACAGTGCTGGAAGAGGTGCCCACTTGAATCTAAAGCGTGCCGAAAAAGCACGGGCGATTGTCACCAAAATTCCAGGTATATCTTGATTAACTCCAATGTCACTCTCTTCTATAATTTTTTGAACTCTGTAATATTGATCGCAGATACTGTTGACAAATTGATGAACAAAATATCTGTGTGGGAGAAAGAAAGAAATATGCCTTTCTTGTATGACGGGGTGAGAGAATATTTTATTTCTTTGTCTGGTGGATTCTTGGAATATATAGTGACCGATCACTTTCGTTTGAGCTCTGATGCATTGTTCTGCTGTTGTTATAGGTGCCATTGGTGTCTCTATTGGAGGAATACAAAGTTATAAGGCTAAAGAAGGAAGAGTTAAAAAGACGATATCGAGTAGATATCGATTTTGTTTTAAGTGCCTCATTTTCAGTTAATTATCCTAAGCTATTAACTTGCTCTACTCTTTACAGGACCAGAAAAAATTACAGAATCTGTTGCTCACAGGGAAGGAAACAGTTTATGGATCAAAACCTAGTCCAAAAAGGAGCAACAATTTTAACCGAAAAACAAATGAAAATGGCTTCATGACGCCCACTCCTTGGAGGCTTTCTGCCGGCGGTGCAACACCTGATTTGCTCATGCAGTGTTCATACTCTGGCCATTCTAACGGATGCTTCAAGGAGATAAGACGGTTGTCCACCACATCATTGAACCTCATTTCAATCTCTAAAGACGATAGAGTGTCTTCTTTGGCATCTGTTACCAGTTCAGAACCTGGGTCTCCACCTCTGAGTCAACTCTCAGGTCTTAATCGATAGAGATGCTGGAGTATATTGTTATCACATTTCGCGTGCGACGGTCTGCAAGTTTATGCTGGTAATTAGCTTCGAATTTCGCATTCAGAATCTAGGATAATACTTGTAACAATCAATGCATGTACACTTTTTGTTCTGATTTGTATTCCTTAGAAGATTTGGTAGGTACTATGAACAATAGACTTCACCAATGAAAGTACAGAAACAATGAGAATGTGGATACATGAAATAACCTGCAGGGCCTGGTAGGTTTCCTTTGAGCTGGACTTGCTTCGTGCCTCTTGAGAAGCATGACGGTGTATGTTTCATGTAATCTCTTTGTAATCTGTGTTGTGTTGTGTTGAATGGTAGTGTGTTTGGTGTTGTCTTTTGGGTGTTTCAAGAACTGTTTCTTCTTCCTATTATTTCTTTGTTTCCTCTTCCTAGAAAGAAAGAACATGACACATACTGATCCGCAACCGAACTGATACGCGACTTGTAACCGAAATTATAAATCTTGATTTGCAGATGGAAATTTATATCTATACAATCAAAAATTAATTTATTATATTTATAGGATTATAAACTATGATAATAGTATTAAGTATGAAGAGTTTTTTGGATAATTTTAGCTTATTTTAAATTTAATTTTGGGTTTTTTTTTTCTAGAATAACATAACCTATATTGGTCTTTATATCTGAAGGAAAATTAAAAGAATAAAAAAGTTATATATATATATATTTATTTATATTTATATTTATATACTGTGCAAGGGAAGCATATTAATGCATCTTGAACTCATTCATTCATGGCTGACCTTCTTCATTTATTGGAAGTCTGATCTCTTTTCCCTTTCGTATTCCGGCCCCCTCCACCTCCACATCTCTCACGAGCAAAAGAACCCTAGACCCGAGAGGCCGGTCCCCCTCTCGCTATCCGAGGTACGTCTCTCTGTCTCCTTCGCCCTTCTCTTTGCTTTTCCGAGTGGAAGGAACGTTTTTTTTTTCTGTAGACGCTCGACTTCAAAATTTCTACATTTTCATCCGATATTCCACTAGGTCTTGCCGGTTCCTAGCAGTTTCCGTTGCAAAGATCTGAAATTGAAACCCTAGGAGTTCAATCCTGCTACCAAGGTTGTGGGGATTCGTCTTTGTTGTGACCTTAATCCTGCTTTTCATCATTTCGTGGTTTTGCGACCGGCTTTGGAAGTTGGGGTTTCTTGAAATGTGTCGCCTTTTTGCTTGTTTTTCGCAGCAGTGTTGGCATTTCTCATGCATTTGATCTTTCCATGACAGTGGACGGTGGCGATGGTGAGATGAAGGCATTGTGTTTATGGAAGTTGGTTAAAAATCTGATCTTTGTTTCGCCCATTTGACAATTTCGTCGAACATCCCCTTTGGTTTTTCTGTCACCGGCTTACATGGATGATGATGGCGGATTAGGAATCCGGAATTGGGGCTACTATGAGCCACCATCGAAGGGAAACCTTGGGCTGCGGCTTATGTCCTCTGTGGTGGAGCGCAATGCAAAGCCCCTTCTATCAAATGGGGGGTTCATTCATCGGCACTGCAGCTTCCCGGAGCCATCGGTTTCAATGGACTTCATGAGAGACGGTTGGACTCAGCAGGGCAACGACAGCAGCAAGAGCTTCCACACTTTTCCGGTGCGCCATCAGCATCATCCCAGTTACGGCGTCCTCCCTGATCCCCCTACCGTCCACAACATCCAGATGCTGCAGCATCCGGAGCCACAACCCAAGGACGACAAGGTTTTGATGGCGGAGGACACCACTGGTAAAAATGAGCCACCTTTGAAGAAGAGGCCCAGGGGTTGTCTGCAGAAATCCTCGAAGCCCAAGAGGCCTAAGAAAGTCACAGCGCCAAGTGATGAGGTTCCCAATGGTTCAGTTTCACGAGGGAAGGCTGCAAGGAAGAGCACAGGCATGATCATCAACGGGATCGATTTTGATATCTCAAGGATTCCAACTCCGGTGTGCTCTTGTACAGGAAAGCCCCAGCCGTGCTACCGGTGGGGTGTTGGAGGGTGGCAGTCGGCATGCTGCACCACCAACATGTCAATGTACCCTCTACCAATGAGCACCAAGAGGCGGGGTGCACGCATTGCTGGTCGAAAAATGAGCCAGGGTGCCTTTAAGAAGGTGCTGGAGAAGCTTGCTGGAGAAGGATATAACCTTTCAAATCCAATTGACTTGAGGACATTCTGGGCCAAGCACGGTACCAACAAGTTTGTGACAATCAGATAAAGGTATAAAGTGTTGGATGATTTTGGCAGTCTTCATCTTTGCTTCCCCGGTATTATATTAATCTGTGTCCTGAAAAGATCATTTTGAAATAGTCTGAGTGCAATTTTTGTATCATGAACTTTAACAAGGTTTCGAGGCTCAGACACTCAGCTTATATGGGTATTTTGTCTTTTTCCCTTCACTGAATTTTTTTGTTTTAAGGGAAACTGTGCTGCTTAGGACAGATGGTCTTCTCGCCTAATGCATTAGAAAAATCTGTTCACTTTGTTCTTACTCATCATAATCTATATCCTTAGATGAATGTTTTTGCAAGTCATCATTAACGGTTGTCTTGTACCCACAAAGTTTTATGTTTATGATTTTTTTCCTTTTGTCACAAAGTTTAGAGATTCTGTATTTGCACTCCACACTAGCAGAATGTAGTTTCAAGGTGTCATGCCATGCTGGAAGTTATTAGCTTGGGCTTCTTAACGTAGATTTAATAGCACTGGTCCAGTGATGATTCTTTTCTGTTGTCCTTTTCTTTCTTCTGTTCATGATCCCTTCACTTTTCTCATTTGTTTACTGTTAAGATGCCATTAATTCATACTAATCTTTGTCTTGTTTTGTGCCAAATGAAACTGCCTTCGAGTGACATAATATTGTGAATTAGATCATTATCAACAGTATCCTTTTAGATTGTTGAGTCATGTAGTGCTTGTAATCCTCTTTGTAATTTTTGAGACAGAATGAGATCGACAGAGAGATAAACTATGGCCTAGATAGGGTCCCTTTTCTTTTCTATTAACCATTGAAACCAATGAGATGATGCTTAGTTTGACTTACTCTAATGTCAAGTACCTTGTTTAGTGTAATTTTTTAACTTAATTTAATTTCATGCGTGACATTACTTAGAACATAATCAGTTTCTTTAGAAGCTTAGGCTATCTAGAATAACATACAGCAAGTGAAGCGCCAATAGATCCCTTGCTTTATGTCACGAATACAGTATTGGAAAAATGGCATGAACATGAAAACCCAGATATAGTTCATTTATCTTATGAAGAGTATGATGGATATGTGGAAGGTGCTTTTGATGAGTTGATGAACTTGAAAGCAGTGAATGTTGTGCTTGGAATAACCAGTATTATACCGAATGTTGGGTGTCTTGCTAATCTTAATGATGGTATGGACTCTGTAATGCTTGTGTACTAAGGTAAAGTAGTTTTATTTTGCACATGTCTATGTGCCTATTGATCTTGTTTAGTCAACCATTAGTCACATCTTTATAATGCTTTTTTTCGGAAAATTAAGTGGAGTAGTCTTATAATTGGAAGGGAAAGTGGGAAACCCTTGTTGGGGAGTGGAATTGAGAACTTGAGAACCGATTCGAACGATGAAATGGAATGCAAGCTAATTCAATCTAATAGTGCTGTATCTCAAATGATGGGTCAATGAGGAATGGTAATAGCAGCATGAGTCATTAGGTGTAAGCATTTCCAAAGATGGTAAGCTGATGTTATTCCAACTTGATGCCAAATGATTTGCGAGAATGTAGTGACTGCTGCTCATTGTCATTGAAGTAGTGTATTGACCTAACAGATTTTGATTGATTTGCCCTAGGATATATGGTGTCCACCAATTGGATGTCAAAATCTAAGACCTACTTTCTTTTGCTATTCAGTTGAATTATGAATAATTTTAGGGTGTTTACACAATTTCTGTCCTCTTCTAAAGAAGATCAAAAGATTAGTAGCTTACTATACATTTGCTAGAAGATTTGAGATATTTTCTACATGGTTGTGCCGCTTCCATAGTTCTATGAAGACTGCATCATTCAGAGGTTTTCCCTTATTGCCCTGTTGTGTTTTCTATGGCAGTGAAGACTTGGCTCTCTGTGGATTTGCAGTGTTGCTCTCTATGTTTTCTGTTATGACCAAAAGGGGCTCAGTATTTGTGATGCTGCAAAACATTAGACTTAATGATGGCTGATTATGAGTTATACTCTGATGGAGCTATGCAGTGGGATCAGAGAGTTCATTAAAGAACAGTCAAATTCATGGAACAAAATTGGATGGGACTTGAAGGTTGGTCGGATTTGTTCTTGGGATGTGCACAATGATAGGAATGGTAGAGTTTAACAAGTAATTCAAGTTTCTTCAAAGATGGGTTTTAAGTGCATATGTTGCATTGATGATAACTGGTGTTATTGTTTCAGGAGTCTCCAAATTCCAAATTCCAAGGAGAGGTCAAAAACTGAGCTTGATGACATATCCACCTATTTTTTCTTCATTTCAATTATTATTTACTGGCAATGACCCACATAAGATAAATAAATGTTCTTTGTGGGATGATCAAGTTATAACTTAAAATCTCATGTAGAAAATGGGAAAAGACTTGAACTAATTTATTATGACTTGATGGGTGTATATATATATAGTGTGTGTTTGTGTGTAAGTAAAGATGTGAACCCAACAAAGAACTTACTGTATGTAAGGATGCAATCCATGAATGTTGTGAGGCATACTAAACATGCACAAAAAGAAACCAAAAAGAGGGCAGGCCACATTGTCAGAGAAGCCCAGAGGTGGCATCACATCTGCTGCTAGTGTTGAAGTAGGTTGGAAGCTACAGAAGAGCTGAGTGACTGACTTGGCCAAAGATTCCATGGTTTTGACTTTTGCATTTAGCAACATGCAGGAGTCACATGGCCTGTTATTGGGTTCCTTTTCTGCTTTTCCATCTCCCTTTGCCATAAAGCAACCACACAAGCCATGAGCTTTTTTCATGAGGCTTAGAGGTTGAAGGAGAGAGAGAGAGAGAGAGAGAGAGAGTAACACACCATTGTGTGAAGCAATGCACTCACTACACAAAAAGACATCCTTTTTAGATTGGATCCTTCTTTTTCTCCTCT